TTGAACCGTATGAACATATGGAGAATGTAAAGGTCAACGCGGGCACAGTAGAGAATGTACTCGATGACCCAGAGGTGGATGATACGACGAAAGCTGAATTGACAAAGATAATTGGAAATCTGAAACTAGGACCTGACCTAACGGAAGAACAAAAGAACGACGTGTATAACGCGTTCTGGGAATTTTGGAAGGTCTTACCGACATCAAAGAAACCGTATGGAGATGTTAAAGGGGTCACCCACGTAATTGATACGGGAGACGCGAAACCGGTTAAATGTAACCCGGCCAGAACGAGTTGGACAGGCCGCGAGTTTATAACGAAGCATATAGAAGAGATGTTGGCACAAGATGTAATTGAGCCCTCAGACGCCGAATGGAGCTTTCCAGTTGTGTTAGCTGTTAAAAAGAATGGCGACGGGACAATGGGAACGAGATTTTGCGTCAACTACATCATGCTGAATAAGTTAACGAGAAAGAATAACTACCCGCTACCGAATCCAGATGAGTTGCTCGACGCGTGCGCAGGCAACAAATACTATGGAAAAATGGACTTGCAAAGTGGATTCTGGCAGATCCCAATGGATCCAGCGTCAATCAATAAAACGACTTTTGTTACCCAAGACGGTATGTACCGATTTAAAAGAATGCCATTCGGAGTTTGCAACGCACCAGCAGCATTCCAATTGTGCATGGACAAAGTACTGTCGAAAGCGCAAAGAAAAGGCTGCGTTTTCGGGTACATTGACGACGTTATCTTCGCCGGAAAGACTTGGGCAATTTTCATGCAGAATTTGAGAAACGTCCTAATGAGCCTAGTCGAAGCGGGATTCACGATCAAGCCAACGAAATGTGAATTCGGAATGAGAGAAATGGGATTCCTGGGTCACATACTCAGTGAAGACGGAATTCGAATGGATCCCGAAAAGGTCACCGCGGTCTCAGAATTCAAACGACCTCAAACAGAAAGGCAATTAAGGTCATTCCTTGGACTGGCGAATTATTATCGCAAGTTCATAATGGGATATGCACAGAAGACTTGCCATTTGTACGAACTGCTGAGACAAGATAAGCAAGTAAAGAAAGATTGGACAAAGGTACACGAGGATGAATTTAACAGTCTGAAACAGCTGTTATGTGAAGGCCCAGTGTTAGCGAAATTTGACCCAGCAAAGCCGACTGTCATTGAATGCGACGCGAGTAAAGAAGGAATCGGAGCTGTCCTATCACAGGAAGGTCATCCGATCGCGTACGCCAGCCGTGTCTTACATGGAGCAGAACGAAATTACGGCGTAACGGAATGGGAATGTCTGGCAGTAGTGTTCGCTGTCAGAAAATTCAAGCCATTTATTGATTATGCGGAATTCACCGTACGAACGGATCATCAGGCACTGACCAACTTGTTAAGGTCAGAAACGAACAAAGTTGGAATGAATCCGCGCCTGACAAGATGGGCGATGGCACTGCAAGGTCACCAGTTTAAAATTGAATACAAACCGGGAAAGTACTGCGACAATGCAGATGCGCTATCAAGAGCACCAATTGAAGGCCCGACATGTCAGGAGGAAGAATTTGACGAGATTCCGAATTTCGAAGATTATAAGAAGGAATTTGACACGCAGGAACCAGCAATTGAAATTGGACAGTTATTCCTACAGATGGTGGAGCAGAGAAAACGCTTAAAGGTCACCTCAGCTACGGCGAACGAGTCGGCTGAACCAGAAGTGAAGGTGAACCGTGTAAAAAGTTGGCTGCCCACCGTGAGCGACTTAAAGGTCACCGGACTTGAAGCGGAATTTGAAGCTCCAAATGGAAAGGTCACCGGACTTAACGAAGTAGCGGAGAATAGGGATGACCTTTGGGAAACGGACAAAGTGGCACAGGCGTTGAACGAATGTCCGATTAAGCTGTTGCGATTCCCGAAACAGACGAAAAAGAGGTACAAACCGTTACCACGCTGCAAGGTCATTAAAGATTGGAATGAACTTAGTACGGCAACAGTCCGCATTGTCAACCTGCAAGGTGATGAGGAAGAAGAAGACGACTCGAACCTGCAGTTGCGAAATAAACAGTTAAAAGATCCCCATCTGGCGATGATAATAGATGAATTGGAACATTTACCGGATGCTGAAACGAGATCGAAATTCGAAGTGTATTACCAGTTGTGGAACGGCATACTATACCGAGTGAAGGATAAGAATGGGAAACTTGAAAGGTCATATGTGGTACCGTTGTCAATGCGAAGAGCGATAATCCACGCATTGCACGACGAGAAAGCGGCAGGACATTTGGGATTTGAAAAGACACTGTCGGCAATCCGACTCCGATATTATTGGGATCGGATGAGTACTGATGTGAAGAATTACATACTTGCCTGCCAAGGATGTCAATTCCGCAAAACGCCAAGGAAATGCCCACCGGGAAAATTGCAAGAGATTAAAGTTGGCCATCCGTTCTTCCGAGTTTACGCGGATCTGAAGGGACCGCTGTTGCCAACGAAGAAACGCGGATATAAGTATATAGCGGTATTCATTGACCAGCTGACGAAATACGTGATAGCAGTACCGATGAAGACGGCAACGGCTAAAGAGTTCGCGAAAGTGTTCGTAAAGCACGTGATACTGGTACACGGAGCACCGCACATTCTACATACAGATCGCGGACGACACTTCACCGCTGAAGTTTTGACAAAGGTCACCAATGTGTTTAAGATTAAACACACATTCGGAACGGCTTATCATCCGGAAGGTCAAGGCCAAGTCGAACGACAGATGCAGACGATTGCGGATGGCTTGGCACAGTATCTGAAAGCGGGAAACGAAAGAAAGTTCAACAAGTACCTTCCATACGTTATATCGGCAATGAATAGAGTCGTACACGCCACAACCGGATATTCGGCATACTATATGCTGCACGGCAGGGAAATGACAATGCCGGAAGATGTGGTCACAAAAACGAATATCCCAGACGACTATGGGACCCCCGATGAGTGGGTAGAGACCATGAAAAAGAATCTGACCTTTGCAGAAGAAGTGGCGAAATGCAATATTAAAGATGCATACGAAAAGAACGCGGAAATCTACAATAAGAGGAAATCGGAACCTAACTTTAAAGTGGGTGACCTTGTGTTGATACGACTGCCAAAGGACACGAAACAGGGGAAGAAAGAAAATCAATCGGACTTTAAATCGAAATACGACAAAGTGTGGAAAATCCTTAGCTTTCCGCGAGCAAACGAAGCGGAGGTCATTGAACAAAACCCAAAGAAAGAAGCGGACTTGAAAGTGGTTTCGATTGATCGCTTGAAGTTATGGCACCCGCCATTGCCAGATGAAGGCGCAGAGCGTACTTTTAAAAAAGAGTCCCTTTTCGAACCACCTCTGCTACCCGAAATGAAAAAAGGGGATGATAACGAAGCGGAAGAAGCTGAGCATGATCCGAAAAATGGACCAAGTCAATTTTTCGAACCACGCAATCTGTTACCTGATCCGATAAGTGGCGACAAACCGAAAAAGAAGAGAGGAAGACCAAGGAAAGCGGATAAAGATTTTGAAACAGCAGTTACAATAAAGCTGAACGCAGAAGCTGGGGATTTGACAGAAAAGTCATCAGAGAAGGAAACCAATCAAGAAGTAGCAGAACGCGCTTCACAAAAAGATTTCGAACTGAACCAAAAACCTTTTTCCGAACCACGCACAGCTGCCAAAGATACCGATGACCTTTTGAAACAGCAGACTGGCGCTGAGATATCAGAGCGCGATTCGAACCTTTTCGAACCACGCACTGCTACCGAGAAAGAGAATCGCCAGAAGGATGGTGAATTACCAGAGCGTAATTCTAGAAAGGACCCTCAACAATCCTTTTTCGAACCACGCACTGCTACCGAGAATGAGAATGACCTCATAAAAAAGAGAAAAAAGGAAATAGAGGCGGTCAAATCAAAAGCCGAACAGTTGGGCCGTGATATAGCGAAAGCAATCGACGAGAGAAAGGTCAAACAGAAGAAAAAGAAACCAACTCCTACAGAATTGCTGACCCAGAAGGGTGAAGTTGAAGATGCCGCCGACAAAGAACTTCTTGATCGGATAACTAAAGGACGCAAAGACAAATAAACCCATATAGATATGAATAAGGGGTTCACTTCACTAAAAATAGGAGTTGGGAAGGTGTAAAAAGGTCATCACCGTTATAAAAGCTAATCAATATCGTTTCATTGTTACAGCAGGTAAGCACAGTTAATGGACAGATTGGAACGACAAAACTCAGATAATTCTGATTCGGAAAGTATCGGAAATCCGTTAAAGACATCGACCCCCAAAAGAATGGAAGGCGAGTACAGCTATGACACCTCATATGGTGAGGGGTCGACGTCGTCAGTAGGAACGGTGCAGAACGAACCTGGAACAGCCCAAGGAGGACCTTATGGTGGCCCAGGGTATTATGGGTATCCTGGACAGCCGACGAATTACCAAGACACAGTTAATTGGGTGCACCACGGCTCAACTGCCGGAACCCAGTATACAGAACAACCGATGCATAATACCCCTTATCAGACGTACCCGGGATCGTATACCTCACCGATGGGACCACCACAGATGATGATGGGACCGGCAAGAATGCTGATGCCACCACCGCAACAGACTACACCGAGTCGATTTATGGGACATGGCGGATTCAGCGGAATGTTAGCGACCCCAGTACAGTCACAAAGGGCATCTCCGATACTACCACCGTTTCCAGAAACGGGAGGTTTGTCATTGTCGGATATTGGAGCACCTCGTATGAGATCACCGCAGCAATTAGGAGCGCAACGACCTCACCGAAACTCGCCACACAAAGGAGGGAGACGAGGTGGAAACAGATTTGATTCACCACGACCACGAGGTATACTGCCGTCGCTGGGTCCAAACTTGGAGCAAGTTGAAGTCGGACCAGAGGGATTACGGGCAACGCCCCCGGGTGAACCAAAAGTACATGAGTATTCACCAAAACTCCCACTGGATATGAGAGAAGACGATGGAAGATTGAACGTGATTGTGGGCGACGGAGAAAAATTAGTAGCAGCGGATGCAGAGGCCATCCAGGATTTCAACCGAATGTGTCGGGACCTTTATAGACTTCACATGCGAGTTGAGGATGAGCATGCGTTCTACGGAAGATTAATCAGTTTGGACGCGATTGTTGTACCAGCCCACATCGCGATGAAAGAAAAGACTAAAATCATCGAAGTCCAACGCAAGGAGTTAGCGATCAGAATCGCCTCGATGAAACAATATCACCCAGCTTTAACCAATAGAAAATGGCCGCCGATGATTGAGCAGATACAGATATTCCTTAGGATGATTCCTAAAGTAAAGAAACCTCCGACAAGCGGCGTGGCAGGGCCGTCACGAGCATTGGTTGAAACACCAGTAGAAGAGATGTCGGACAGTGTCCTTTTAGAAACGAAAAAAAAATTGAGGCAGAATTAACCGGACGGACAGAAAGGTCACGAGCCAGTTCAACTGCAGGATCAGTACGCGGACGTACCAGTTCGGCTGCAGAACCGTCTAGCGGAACCGCGAAGAGTGGAAAACGAGTAAGGTCACCGACAATCAGCCCACCAGAAGCTGAGAAGAAAGGACAGCGAACTAAAAAGGTCACGACGGGTAAAGCACCACCGGCGATCCCAGTGGGTAGAAAGAGTGTACCACCCGCGCCGTCGAATACAGGACCAGTTGCTATTCGACTTCCGAAATGCAGAACTTTCACGGTCAAATATACCGGGACGGACCATAACGAACAAAAGGTCACGGCTAGGATAGTCGACAAAGGAACGAATAAGGAGATCGACTCGTACAATCCTCTAGCAGATAAGTCAGTCAAAAACGAAATTGGGGAAAGATCAAAGACAGAAGTCAACGAGGCGCTACAGTTCATTCCCCCGGAGGAGCGTCACAACCCACGAGTCCTCATTCAGATGATGAAACACGTTGTGTCTAAGGTAGCGACCGAAGAAGACGCATGGGTCCGAATTAAGGTGGGCACGAACGAAGACCATTTGGCATACACATATACAACGGATGGAAGGCTGTTGACAAAAGAAAGAATCCGACCGAAACCGACAGCGGACCCAGACCCGGCTAAACGAAAATTAGACGATTATGAGTCGACCCTGAAATACACTGACGGAACATGTAGGAAGGTGACGCTGAAACTCCATTTTGAGGATGACACGACGGACAGCCTCACCGCAGTAATCGTTGACCCGGTAACGGGAGATCCGATCCCATACGCCCCATGGGATGTGTCAGAAGAGAGTACCGAACATGCCAATCAGACAGCCCTTGATCAGTTGTGGAACCTGATACCAGAAAGCGATCGTCAGGACCCGATAGTCCAAGCGAACACACTGATCAGCATGATGCGGTATCGAGCGGAAAAAGACGAAGCCCATTTTCGACTCACAAGAAGAATGGAAAACGGAGCGTATAAAACGGTGTTTTATGACGCAATGAAGAAACCTTTGTGGGAAGTAACGACACAGGCACCGAATGTGGTGACCGAGCATTTGGAAATCAACCCGGTACAAGAAAGTGGAGCCGGAGAGATGGCAGAGGCCTCCGTAACCGAACCGGCAGGAACGGAGAGTACCCAACGACCATCGAAACAGGACGATTCGGAAGAAGAAGAGGATAATGACGACTCGGCAGAGGAATCAGCTGAGGAAGACGAAGCAGTCGAAGATGATAATGTCCCTTCAAAAGTTGTCATCAAACCGAGGAAAGCGGCTAAACTGGAAGAAGCCATGAACCGTGAAAAGGTTAAGAAAGGTGACTTCCTAAAGAAACGAAGGGAAGAAGAAGAAAGAAAGAAAAAGGGTAGTGATGATAGCGAGAGCACAGGCACCGAGAAAAAGAAAGAAGAGAGAAAGAAAAAGGATAAAGCGTCATTTCACGATGTTGAAATTCTGAGTGAGCCAACAAGTGAAGTGGGAGAAAGGTCAACGAAACCAACAACTTTAAAGAAATTTATTATCGAATCGGCTACGTCAAAGTCAAAGGTCACCGAGCCTGAGTTGCCAGCATCAAAAGGAAAGGTCATAGCCGTGAAACAAGTTGTTCCGGTTGTCATCTCGGCATCTACTACAAAAGAGCGCAAAGAGAAAGGGAAGCGTGAGAAGGCAAAACGAGAGACGTCTCGTGAATCGGAAGCGTCAGAAGTGAGCCTACCAAGCACTTCAACGGTTAGCACAAGGTCACAACCGGACCCGACCAGACTGAGAGGCCTAGCGGAGGCCTTGGAAAAAGCGAAAAAAGCAAAGAGCGAACCGGCTAAATTGAAAGGAAAGAGCAAAGCAGTCTTAAAAATTGATGCAATGGCGATGGCCACCTACGCCGAACCAGAGGGCGACAGCGAACTCGATTTCTCAGGAGATGAAGTGGAATTCGAGGATCCAGACGATGATAACATGACAACGGTCGACGAGATCATCGCAGCGTACGAGGGAGCTGAGAAAAATTTCGCACGGATAAGAACAACAGCGGTTACGGCAAAATTTAAAACGGGCTTACAGACTTACCTTAAAGGAAAACGCCGCAGCTTCACTAAACAGAAGTTTGATGTGGTGTTAGAATATGCGCGAAACGCAGGAAAACTGATCCAGAAGCATCCTAACTTTGCGTACAGAGCCAAACTATTTAGACCGTCAAGTTCGGATAAAGCGTTGACGACCCCAAACGAAGTCGGCTCGATGCGAATAGAAAGGGCAATCGCAGGAATGACAAGCCCGTTGGGATCAACGAGCCATCGGATAAGCCAATACATCAATGCCGTTTGGAACGACGGAACAGGAATGATAAAAGAAATCGATACGGCCACCGAACGTGCATCGCCAAAGATGATCAAACAGAATGTCCTCGCTACAACAAACGCACATAAGGGACTTCCGATCCGATATACGAGAGTGGGGCTAATACCGCCGGAAAAACAAGCCCATTGCCACATGTCCGACAGCCAGGACAAGGAAAAGGTCACAGTTCCAGTTAGTGGAGACCCGTCAACTCCCATACTGAATCAGATCGCACAGCGAAGGGCTGAAGAAGAAGCTGCTCGGGTCAAAGCACAAGCCCCGAAGACGCCCAAAAGAAAAGGGGCCGATGGACTCCGAATCGGAAGAGGACGATGAAGATGATACGAAAACGACGCCTACCGAACCAGCGACAGAAAAAACTGACCAGTCTAAAGGTCAAGAGATATCTGGGACTAAGGCAGAAGCCCGAATGAAAGGTCATGAGACTCCACAAAAAGGGGCAACAGAAAAGGTCATGCTCCCAATGGAGAAAGCGGCAGCGGAAGCAGAAGAAGCAGCAGCCTCCGCGCGTCAGGTGTTCCAGAGATCATTGTTCATAGTATGAACAATGATGATTCATACCAGACCTGGGCAGTTAATTTCAACTATTTAACTTAGCGCGAGTTTTTTTCGAGTTAACGAGTTATAACTTAACTTTGAAGCTTAACTCGCCAGGACGAAAACTTAACTCTAGCGCAACTCAAAAATAATAAAGCGCAACTCGAGTTTAGCGTAACTCTGCGGATTTCAGTTGAAAGCAAAAATGAAATTAAAATATAGAAAATATCAGAAAAAATGTTATTTTAACCTTGGATCGCATAAATTGCCATAATTACAAAAGTATGTGTGTACAAAAGTATGTGCATACAATTTCTCGAGCCGACGTACACTACGACCGCCCAAGGCTTTGACTAGGTGAATATGCATCGGGGAGTCCATGCTGACAGTGAGTGTGGTCGTTCAATTTGAGCTTAATTAACAGCGTGCAGAGAACGTATTTTTCAAAATTTTGTCATCGAGAGCACAAATCATGTTCGACCAAAATCACACGGGAATTGATCGCCTATGCGTCTTCGCTACCTGCCCATAAGGGAAGCGTAATAATGCGGTCAACGCTGTCAAACAGCTACACTAACTTCGGTAGCCATTGTGAAGCGAAATCACAAAAAAAAAGTTCAGCGTTGCCGGCGCTCGGCCCCAAAAAACCAGGGTCAAAAAGAGAGAGAACTTTTGAGAGGGAGGAATTTTTGTGTGGTTAAAAAAGAAGGAGGAATTTTATCAGATAAGAACTTTTTTATGTTTGATTTTTTCTTGAGGGAGAGAGAAAACAGGCAGGAAAAACAATAAGAACAAAACACAAAAAACACAAGAATGTTTTCTTATGTTTCATTCTTTTGTTTCTTATTCTTTCTTTTTGTTTCATTTATATTTTCTTATGTTTCATTCTTTTGTTTCATTCTTATTCTTTCTTATGTTTCATTTATACTTTATCTTCTTCTCTCAAGAACACTGCGTCTGTCGCTCTCTCCCTCAGGAAAAACATGAAAAAGAAACAAGAGAAAAAGCATGAATTTTAAAAATCAGTTTTAAGATTGAAAAACTAATAATGGTCTGTGTCGCAAATCTGGAAAAACTGATATCGGCATGCATAAAAGACTACTTGAAGCTGATTACTAAAATCATAAATTTTTTTATTAGAAGTTAACTCCAGTTAACTCTAGTTACTGCGGCTAACTTAACTCATAGCGTAACTCGCGAGCTGCGATTAACTCTTAACTCTAACTATGAGTCGAAATCTCATAACTGCCCAGGTCTGGTTCATACCATTGAAGGACGCCTTCGAGAAAGAGCGATCAAAGTCAGCAAGTGAAGTGAGAGACCACGGGACTTTGCCACAGAAAGAGAAGACTGAAGAACCAAAATCGGCTCAGTCATCATCGGGATCGCTGGCAAAATTAAGGATTGACGAAACGGAGGTAACCGACCCAACGGACTCGGCAAAATCCCCCCAGAAAACGGAAACGAAAGAGGCGACAGATTATTCGCTTGGAGCACCGTTAGATGTAAATAACCGGACATGGAATGAAGTCCAAAACGCGCTCCAAAGTGTCAGAGAAGGTGAAATGCTCGGTACAGAACTGAAGGGACAGGTTGCTGAAAACTCGAGAGGACGATCGTCACTCAGTATGACTGAGCGAGTTTTGAAACGAGCATATAAGGAAGGGAAGCTGGGATGTAAATACAACAAGGATAACAAAGTTATCTACTACCTTCCGAAACAGGGCAAGGAGCGTACACCCAGACTCGTGATGGAATTGGAGGCCTGGAAGATAGCCATTACAGATGTGGCTTTGGACGCCATTGGCGGTGCCAACGGAGCGTCATGGGGTGACCTTTCAAATTTCATGGCCGTTCATTATGAATTGGGAGAATTGAATATTGAGAACGATAAAGAATGGATAAAGAATGCCGTTGAAGCATTGATTGCAGATGAAGTGCTTCACATTAACCAGGACGGCCGCGTCGACTTCAAGCCGTATAAACCGTCGGCAAAGGAATCTGAGTGAATGGGACGAGTGTAATATGCAGCGAGTAATGAACCCTGCATATTACAGAAAAAGCATAAAATAGTTAAAAACGAGAGAGAAAAATTTTACGGAAAATTGAAAGTGAAAAGGTCAACCTGAAAAGTAGCGGCGTTAAGACTAATAGAAAAGGTCACAGTAGTCAGAGAATGCTAATAACGTGAGAAAGGTCACCACGTTATAGCGACAGAGAGGGATACAGGAGCTAGGAAAGTCTCAGCTCAGTAACGGAATAGGCGTAAAAATGACAGAAAGCCTCGATAATGGATAGGAACGGAAAAGATTAACGTGGAAAAGTTACTATGATAGATTGTTTTCTGATTGCAGATTTAAAACGGAGAAAAATGGCTCAAAAAGGTCAAGCCACTCCTAGAGGCTCGGCATCGACACCAGTTATAGACAGAGCTACGGGCTATAATCCAAAATGTCCGGACTGTTTAAGGAATAACAGAAAAGTCGATAAGAAATTCCCGTGCTATGCATGCATTCACAATTTGGGCGACCCACATCGTTTCACTTGTTGGGATCACGGAAGCCAAACGTGGGAACCTGGACGTTTTTCGAAACCTCATCAGCGCGAGGAATTACGGCAGCATCCCAATAGAAGAGCGAATGCTACTCGAGGATCGTTACCGGGAAGCGATCCAGAATAACGAAAGTGGCTGGGATGAGACGCTAGAGCCGTTAAAGTGCCCACAAACGGACGCGTATCGGAAAAAGTTTGAGGAAGACCAAGAGAAGATGCGACTTCAGAGACTGGAAGATGAACTCCGGGCGAAGATTAACGCGGAGAACAAAAGGGCAAGCGAACAGGCGGCACGGGAGTCACTGCCCAGTCCGTCGAGTTCAGCGGTACCTACAGCCAGCCTCAACGAAGATGAAGCGCAGCTGACACGTCAGTCTCTCATCATCCAGATCGACACGCTGACGAGCGACCCGGCCGCTATGCAACAGGAACTATTTGATGCGCTGTTACGGGAAAAATTGAGACTACAGAAAGGTTTTGCTCCGGCGCCATACATAAAGAAGGCAGTCGAAGAACGTATGGCGGAGCTGCGCAAATCCCGTCAAAACGAAAGTAATGTTCTGCAAGCGCTGAGAGGATTTAAGCGGGACGAAGGCTTTATCCGACCTCGATCCCCTCCACGAAGAGAAAGGTCACGCGGACATTCACGCGAACATGAGCGAACCTCCGAGCGACGAAATGAAAGGTCACGTGAATACTCTCGTGAAAGGACACGGGATTACCGCAGTGAAAGGTCACGCGAACGTTCTCACGACCGAGATTACCGTGGCGGAAGAGGATGGGTGCGCCATGGCAACGAGATAACGGAAACGAGCATTCAACGGAAGATTGATACGGCGAAGATTTTGGCATCGACAAGAGGACGCGAAGAACAACGGCGTGCGGAGACTTACCGTACAGAGCCTGAAAAGAAAGGTCATCAGGTGCCGTTGGGAGTTGCGTTCCGTAACCGCAATGTCAGAATGTCAACACCCGAAAGGTCATGGGATCAAAGACGCGAACGTACGCGAAACCGAACGCCAGACCCACAGGATAAGAGATGGCAGGAAAGAGCCAAGTACTATGCGGGTTTTGAATCTGGCGCAAGCAAAAGGTCATCGAGCGCGGAGCGGGAAGATTCACCCCCAAAATATCAAAGAATGGAGTCAACGGTCCATGTGGTGGATCCGATCATAAGTGCCGCTCAAGAGGATGACATGATGGAAGGGACCAGCTCAGTTGTAGAAGCGTCCCAAGAGAACGTGACCCATCGACGAAATGTAATCCTCGATAGTGACCTTCAACCGTCTGCATCGGCGAGTAATGAACCGTCGCAGCGTGAACCGGAGGAACGACGCGAATTGGAAGTCCAACGCGAACCGGATAATCGTCGCGAAGCCGATCGACGAACGACTTCCAGATTTAACAACCGATACCCCGATATAATCGATATGGAATATAATATGAATGATACCGACGAACAAGCGGCGGAGATTTGCCGGTATCTGGGGATCGAAGGAGACTCAGCAGAAGCGAATAAGATTCGTACCGTACTGAATCACTTGCGCCAGTTCTTACTCGATTCTGGCTACGCTAGAGAAATTAAGAGGGGAGTGGAAGAAGGAACCTTCCGCCGGTTATACATTCCTCGCGACTCCGCGCTAGATTGTTATCTCCCCATCCGACGAAACGGCCTACACAGTTTGCTGGACGTGAGCCTATTAGACGTGCCACTGGACACGACTGACCCTGTCGGGATGACGCAATTTTATTACACAGACTATGACGAACGACAGGAATATGTGGCTCAGTTCGTTTTAAGGCATGTGAATCCAGCCTTCAAGTTGCTTGCAGCGAGAGCATCGATCGGATTACAGGTGGACCCGAAAGATCATGCCGCAAAAAGGATGGGGCGAAAGGTCTTTGCTGCGAGACTGGCACATTATAAGACTCAGAACCAGTTGGTATCTAATACCATGAAGGACGATATACCACCGTTATACCGACCTCATGTGGTGAAATTGGGAGAGCCAATGGAGCATATGGGAATAGCCCATACGGCTCGGAAGGCACTGAAGAAGTGCAGGACCCGTAGGGAGAAAGGTAACCTTACGCAACGACATGCCTCCCAAGTTGAGGAGCGGATTAACCGGATTAAAGATACCATGGGAAGTGACTATGTCGAACCAGTGGACGGAGTAGACGTCTACATTAACGAATTCCTGGTGAACAAAGGCGACCGACGCCCAGAACGCGCTCCTAACCAGATAGGACGACGCGGACTAAGAAACCAGCAACTCCGCGATAACCTCGCTGATGTGCAACGGCGACTGGCAGATGACCCTAATAACCGAGGACTGCGACTGGAAGAGCACGATGCACGCCACCGAGTTGAGGCAGTTAAGCGCAGTCGCCAAGGGAAAGGTCGTGGTCAGCGAGAAGTTGACCCGGAAAAGGTCATGGAAGTTGACGTGACAGAGCCAGTTGACCGGACTTCCGACCAAAATCAACCGAAAAGCACTAAGAAGCGCCCGCCGAGAGACGGCGAGGACGATTCAAATGAAATGCAATAGTGTTGATCGTTAGGATCACACTATTAAAAGGACGTCTACGGCATTCGTCGGTACGTCATAAAAATGAAACGGTGTTGTATATAAGGGCGATATGACTTGTTCACATAAATTGTATTCGTGTATTGTTGTTTTCAGCGGTTATAGCACAGAAACGCAAAGGATAAAGAAATCATGTGGAGCATCGATTGGGGTTGAAATTGATTCGGTCTATAAAGCCGGCCCCAAAGGAGTTGCTACGGCAGTTAGCCGGCTCTCCTCCTTAAGCGACTCAGTGTTACAAATTGGCAAGGGAAACTACGGTAATCAAGCCGGATCTCTTGAATACGAAAGTGGGCCACAAGCGGCGAAAAAGAGAAAGACAACAAGTGGAAATATTAATGGGGTAAACTTGATGCGGCAGTCAGCCGGCCTCATTAGAGTTGTCACGGTAAACTATGCCGGCAATCTCTCCAAGCGACTCAGTGTTATAAATCAACGAGAGAAACAGCGGTAATCAAGCCGGATCTCTCGTACCGAAGTTGGGCCACAAGCGGCGAACAAGAGTAAAAGATTAAATGTGGAAACGTCATGGGGTTAATTTAATGCGGTAGTTAGCCGGCCCCATCAGAGATTTTACGGTAAACTCTGCCGGCACTCTGGCCGCTCGAGGCATATTGAAGTGGGGTGTGCGACGGAAAGGTCAACCGAAAATTTTACCAGGGAGGCAAGCGAAGAAATGCTTGAAAGTCGTCAGAAATCGGAAGTTCCTCCATGACCTTTAACAGAAGTTTTGAAGAAAAGTCAGATGACCTTTGGGAGTATCACTGCCCAACAGCGTCATTGTATTGAAATTTGGAATCGAAGTCGCATGACCTTTTGGGACCATTAACCCAGAACGAGTCGCACATCTCCACGGATCATCTCAACAAAGGATGACCTTTACCAGGGAGGAAGCGAACCACGCTTGTCTATATGACGTCCCTCCATGACCTTTATTGGATCTCAGTTTAAGTCGTACAATTGATACGCACCATATTCCAAAGATTGAAGCAGTATTCCTAAGTCGTACTTGATACGCACCCGATTCTCAAGCGGATTGTGATGAAGTCGCACTATGCGCAGAATTGCTCAAGAGAGCGGAATGGGCCAAAGTGCGGTAAACGGTGGACAGGACCTGTGACCTTTACGAGTCAGAAATGGAGGATCCTAGTCTACTTTTGATTAAAAACTTCTGTTGATCTGTTTAACTGTTGATCTGTTTTTGTATTAGAATTGATATGAAATAGTATTTTGATACAGATCTCTTTATTTCACATTGTGCATTTGGGATTATGTGATAAATGGAATAAGAGAATTTGATGTTTTTGAGCACGCACAGACACCGGCGACCGTCGTCTTTTCGTGGATTCGGGAGTGTGTCCAGCCTCAACGGAGCTCGGCATCCCCCCAGAGGCATGTGAGCGGGGGTTCACTAGCGTTCACACTCGTGACGCTACGCGCCACTGGATTACGTGTCTGTGTTGTGTCTCGCTTCTGATTGGCTCGCGCTTTATTAGTGGGCGCGGCATAGCACGTGCTGCACAGTGTTGCACAGTGTGGAATTGGCTCTACGTTTTACGATCGAGCTGCGCCGATCAGTATGGATTTTCTGTGCTCCAGACTTTTCAATATTAAAAAGTCAGCTATACGCGGTGCGACGTTTTGTGTTTCCGCATAGTTCGCTACACTTTCGCGTAGCTCACTCCACAGGATAGATCCCGTTTCTGTCTCTGTCTCTGGATCCATTCTGGATCTAGCATTAGAGACATTTTGTTAAAGCATTCTTGTTGACCGACAACCTGCTTTTCGGTGTGATACGTTGGTGTTTGAGTTTTCTTAGGTTTCTTGTTGTTTCTTCTTTTGGTTTTTAGGTTTCTTAGGTTCCTTAGCTTCCCTGTGTTTCTTAAGTTTTCCTAGGTTTCTTAGGTTTTCTTGGGTTTCTTAGGCTTTTTGGTTTATCACGTAAGCAAAATATCGTCAGCAAGCTGTCAGGTGTTCACAAGAAGTCGTTCTGCGAAATGTCGTTCAGCGTTTGTCGTTTCAACGAAATGTCGGGTCATCAGTTCGTCGGTCAGCAGGATAGTCGTCAGCGAATTGTCGGTGTGCTAAACGATTACGATTGCTCATGACTCCATTTGCAGGGTTATGCATATCGTCAGTAGTCATCGGCGGTATTTTCTGCATCTGCTGTGCAGGCGGTGCCGCGTTACCGTCTTAAATTAGCTGCACTGCTGCCGTTGAAATGGGCATTGGCGCAACCGCGGGATCACTTTCAGTTACCGCCCTAGTGAACTACACGTTAGGGGCGCTGGCGGGTTTAACGGGTGTGGGAGCTGTTGGTGCGCAAGTGCTGTCGCACGCCGGTGTGGGCAAGGCCCTTGCCAATGTACAAAACATGCGCGAATGTCTTTTCAAGCTGACCAAAACAGAAGCTGTGTTATCCGGGGAACTGGACGGCTTGGCGTTCGGAGCAGCCGACTGCGCGACTGACGCTGCCTGGGTGGTGCTGATTCTGAAGAAGATTGAAGCGGAAGTCAAAAGAGGTTTTGAAATGTTGAACAACTTGTGAGTTGCTGGCACAAAGTTTGCCGCGTTTCGTGCTATGTGAATGTATTTCAGCGGTGTCACTGTTCGCCCTTCGCGTTTTTCATGTGCGTGTGGAGTATTCTTTCGCCAAATGTTTGGTAATAACTGCCTATCCGCAAATTTTACAATTTTCTGTTTCATAACTAGAGCACAGTGGTATGTCTCATACCGAAGTATCCCTTTAAAATAAAATAATCTTTAAAAACGTCCATTTAATTTAACCCAAAATAATTTTGTTGATGAAGAAGAGAACAGTACGGCAAGAAAAGGCACCGTAAATGAACTGTTCAACCGACCTGCCTCTACGACATAAGCGTATAAGCTGATATTTTATCATGCCGTCACTAACCTTAAGACTACAAATATACGCTTAACGAGAGATTGTTTCTCTGACGATAATTTAATTGCGAACTTCGACACTGCAAAATACTTAAGACTTTAAAGTATGAACTGGCCTTCATGTCGCGCCAAGTGCATTCTTGTGGAAGAAATTAAATTAAGACAAAAAATAACAGAGAACATTCGAGAATGTATCTGCACATGCGAATAAAAGTAAGTCTCCGTAAATATTGCAAATAAAGCACAGTACTTAGCAAGTAAGTAAGCTGGGCCGCCGACGCCACGGCTGGCGGGCGGCTGGCTGGCGGGTGGCTGTTGTGTTTTGCAGCAGTCAGCTACATGCCTGAATAACTCGGGCTGTTCAAGTGCGAAAACAGCAGTCATCAGCGCGTGAGGGGAACGTCAGCCAAGTGAAGGCATTTGCCATTTTGCCGATAATCTACGGTAGGAAATGCTGGAGACTAAAATGATCTTATTGAATATAGCGGCAGTTTGAAACCGTTATAAAGGAGAGTGTGGCTTGTTCGCACATTCATTATTCTTCTATTTAAACATCCAGTTTTTTGTAGTCTTTCTGTACAAGATATTGAAGATAATCGCAGCTCCTTTTCAGGGCAATGACTTTCTCGGGCAGCCAAATATTCCAGTGCTCAGTGGACGGCACAATTTAAACTTGTATTTTTATTTGCGCTTGTATTTTTCGTTTTTGTTTTTATTTATTTATTTTTAATTTTTTGGGACGGCGAAAGTTAAATTTAAATATCATGTTTGTATTTTCTTTCCGCATATTATAATCATGTTGGGTGTGTCAAAAACGGAATGCATAACTTCGTGCTGGAATGGAAATTCCTGCACGACATAATGCAAACCGTTTTTGGCACGTAACATGCGCATCTGGAAGAAGATAAAGAAAACTACGTTACGCCGCGAATATGAAATGTGGTAACTGGTTGTCGAAGCCCAGTTATGCGAACGGAAGTGACATTTCAGAGTTTCTTATTTCACATTTGGTGTTGTGAATTCGTCTGTGAACGAGAAGTACTTTGGTCAGCTGAATACTGGGAACTGACTTCTTTAAACATTTTCTGCACGGACGATAATTATTTATTGTATTTCGGTCGATACTTCACTTCGACATCACACCGACGAATTTCTCTTGCTTGCGCGTTGATTTTATTACTGCTAACTTTGTTTTACTGAGCTGAAATTTTTGTATTCTTATTGCTGTCTGAGAACTCCGTTATTTGCGAAAAATAAAGGCGGAATTGCAGTTTCCGCGCCCTGAAATCTGAGTTTATTCGACGGAGGGTATTACTTAATCTCGCTGGATAAAGTTATATTTTTACGGAAGGTAACTGATAATTAATTAATTGGCCCAATGAACATGAGATGGGACAGTGCACAATACACTCACAGCATTACCACGCATAAT